AGCAGTGACTTCAGCAGAAATTTGACAATAAGAAACACTGGAGTGTGGATGAATCTCTTATTTGCTGTGCAAGAAAAAAGATTAAAGCGCAAAAAAAAAAAAAGATTTGCCCAGTTATACAGAATTGGGGGTAGGAATGAGCTGGGAAGTCCTGCTAAGACACTTTCCAGAAAAACTAGACTGTGTTTTCTGCCTTACACAGTTTTATCCCAATTGTATTTTATTGCTTTGTTTGTTGGTTGCACATCACAAATGTATGGCGTGGAAATTGTGTAGTCCACATCTCAGAATTCCTCTCCATTGGCTAAGTTGGATTGGGCAGCTGGGAGTTGTAGTTCAGCAGAACCTCATGATCCATAAATTGATGCAAATTTGCGCATTGGGCTCAGTGATTGAACCCCTTTCAAATACAGGTCTCAGTTCCAGAAGCAATGCCAGCAAGGACTTAATTCTTCCTTTCAGATGCTTAACTGTTCCTTTCAGATGCTGTTGTTACTGTTATGCATTTCATGTTGATTCTGACTTATTTAAACCATTTCCTAGGGTTTTTTTTAAAGCAAGCTTGATCAAGCTACTTCTGAGGCTGAGAGAGTGTGACTTGTGACTTCTACAAAGTCATCCTGTTGGTTTCCATGGTGGGCTTTCTGGCACACCTTCTTTTAGATCTAGATGTTATTCTATTGTGTTTTATTACTTCTATGTTGGGCTAATGATAGTGTGTGATGGAGTTGATTTTACACACCAGGCACACTTCAGTTAATGCATGTCCCTCCTCCACCACCCTCTGCAGTCTCCCTTTCCCATCTACAATCTCTGACAGCTCCTCCTGCTCGTCTTGCTCTCCTTCTCCTCTTTTCTGTACAGAGGAAGTATCATACTGTATAAGTGCTAAGCATAAGTGGTGTCTCCTGCAAAGAGTGAATTCTCTCTTATCCTGTTCTATTTTGCACTGAGACACTGCACTGAGACTTCTGCAATTTCCCTAGGAAATGGCTACATGCTTTGTAGTGTGGCTTCACAGTGTAAAGTACTAGAAACTTGTTTGTTTAATGCAGGGGTGGCCATGAGTGGATTTCTAGGTGTTGTTAGCCTGCTGTTCCCAGCCATCCTAACTGCCACAGCCCATAGCCAAGCCTGCTGAGTGACATCTGGAAAGCCACATTTTCCCTACCCAATTTAAAAGAGGTTTGATATTATTAATCTGTTTGATCCTTGTGAATATACTGCATTCTGTGAGTTTACTGTGCTCCTAGGAGGACTCCTGTACCTTATGAGTTGTGTGCAAAACAGATGTCCAGCAAGTGGTGCATTTCCTGTCAGAGCATTTCGGTCCTAAACAAAGATGCTATAAGAAGAGGGGAAAGAACTTTGTTTATTGCATTTGTATTTTGTCCTTACTCAAGAAATTCAGAATATACTTCTAACATTACAATAATCCTGCAATGTAAATTTACGTTTAGGGTTTATTTTCCTGGTAAATCTCTTATATTGGTGAAGGTTTATAACAGGCATCCTCAAACTGTGGCCCTCCAACTCCCAGAAGCCCTAACAAGCTTGTTCACTTGTCAGGAATTCTGAGAGTTGAAGGCCAAAACCGCCGGAGGGCTGCAGTTTGAGGATGCCTGGTTTATAAGAAGGGGGGGGGGATATACAACTAGCTTTCTCTATTACTAAGACAGAGAATATGCATTTGCTACACCTCCAACAGTCAAACCCAGAACCTCAATCAATGGCTGATACCAAATGAGAGACTCCCCCCTGGGCACACAGAAAACTGGGTGACTTGGAAGGTGCTGAACAGACTGCGCTCTGGCACCACAAGATGCAGAGCCAACCTTAAGAAATGGGGCTACAAAGTGGAATCCACGACATGCGAGTGTGGAGAAGAGCAAACTACAGACCACCTGCTGCAATACAACCTGAGCCCTGCCACATGCACAATGGAGGACCTTCTTGCGGCAACACCAGAGGCACTCCAAGTGGCCAGCTACTGGTCAAAGGACATTTAATCAACTACCAAGCTTGAAAACTTTGTGTTTTGTCTGTCTGTTTGTTTGTTTTGTTAAAAATGTAATACAAATGTCTGGTTGCTCCTGACACGATAAATAAAACCTCCACAGTCAGATAGTTCAGAATGCCAGGAGACGTCTGTAACTCAGTGTAGGTGAGAATTAGTTTAAGGGATGATGCTTTGCATTCAACGACAGCTGCCCTTTGTTGACACGGTCTTTTTAATGAGGGAGAGGCATAGGAGGGAATTGCCCCAGGTTTCACATATAGTTTGTGTCTAGTCACACTTGAAGAGTGTCACCTTGGAATCAATGCACTGTGGTCAATTTATTTCATTCAAAATCCCACCAGCCTAAGCTTCAGATAAATCTAACATAAAGTGGGTAGGAGTTTCCAATTTACATTCCCCCAAAGGTCTCTCAGTCTCTTAATGAGACACTTTTAGTTGAGCATCTGCTATAACTTGGTCTCATTCCAGATCTAGTTTTCAAACCAAGTGTTTTTCAAGGTGGTCTGCAGATCAGCCAATCCACAGTGAGTTTCCAGGAAACTACAGAGATATGATAATGTGACACAAATGTGACATTAGTCCACCACATCAGAGAGCTTGAGAAGCATTGTTTTTTTCCAGTATATCACACAGGACAGCATTTATAGCAGAATGGATGGATGTCTTTATCCTGACAGCAAGAAAGGGGGCAGTACAAAGAATTTCCTTTTTCTTATAACAGCTCCCCATATAGATACTTTTAAAAAAGTAACACTTTGAACAATTGGTTTTTTTGCTTGCTTGTTTGTTATTGTATGCATTCAAGTTGACTTTCATGAGGATTTCACCCCAGGTTTCCAGCACTGTAATCTAGTGTTGAAACCATTGTACCATGCTGGTTCTAAACAATTCTTTCTATCATGAATTGGGTATAATTGTCTACAATTTATGCTTCAGAATAATTAAATATTCTAATCAAGTACTTGTGAATGTGTATATTCTTGTACTCCTTGCTAAGTACTATTGAGATCTAGTGTCTTCACCTCTTCAGCTGGGGTAACTCCTAGCCTGACTCCACACCTGTCCCTAAAGTCAAGTTGGAGGTTATGGGATAATGAAACTGTTGTCTACGAGGTGTGAATAATCCACCTATGCTGACGTCATCTGAAGGGAGAAGGTGGTTTATAGTAGCAGCAGAGCAAGGATTAATTGACATTAAGACATGGCTGGTGGTTATTTTCTTTCTAGGACAATCCCAGATTTTGAAAACATGTTGGAGATCTATTAATACAGGTTAGAATGACAATGGGATGATTATCCATCAAGAAGTAGTGCCTTGGGACTTGCCTTTGACTACTAAGTTTAGAAGGCAGTTTTGTGTATTTGCGGTTGATTTTGGAGTTGGGAGGCAGCTAAAAAATGTGTGCGACTGATCATACAGCCCAATTAAAAAAATGGTTTTTAGGCCAGTTCCTGGGGTTATTTGGAACTGATTCAGAAAATTGCATTGGATAGACTGCATCAGCTCTAGTTTCTTACATATGGTTATCATGATTCTCTGCGGGTAAGCAGATGAAGACTGGTATATGGCTATGTCCTGTATATCAAATCCTAGCGCTGGCATGAAGGGGGGGTTACTGGTGTCATGTCTGGAATTAGCAGATCAAATATAACCAGAAACAGGTCTAACATTTTAGGCATCAAATGATTCCTGTATCTGTGTCTAGGGATGCTTCCACACTGCCCTAAATCCTGGGAGGAACTGGGTTATTTTGTCCCTCTCCCACCCCAAACCCCAGACTTTGCCTCAGGGGGTAGCTAGATGTCTTCCCGGATTAACCAAAGGTTGACCCAGGAGGGCATCCAGCTACCCTCCAGCCCCCCATTTTTCCCTCAAAAAGTTACCCAAGAGGCCTGCCAACACACAAAAATTATGTGTCAGGAGGTGGGGGGAAATCCCTTCTCCCCCTTCTGATGCGTTATTTTTGCACATCAGGAGAACTCTCTATTGGGGCTGGGGGAGAGGGGGTGGTCGACATCCTGCTCCTTCAGGCTCCAGGAGCCCAAAGAAACGAGATCACCTTCCCGGGAAGCCCAGCACCTCCAAAGATCTAGATTTTATCTTGAGGTTCAGATCTTTGCAGGTGTAGAATTAATGTGGAGAAAACTGGGATATCCTAGATTTTTCCAGATTAATCCGGTTTTACCTAAGACAGCATTTGGATTCCTCAGGTAAACCTGTTACCCATTATGGGTTTTAGGACAGTGTACAAAGATCCTAAGAAATATAGTGATTCCTATCCCAAGAACTTATCTTACTTGTTTGCAACCCAATGCTCTGCTTTGTACCTTTAAAACAAAGGTGGGAAAGTGTGACCTTCCAGAAGCTGTTGTATTGCAATTCCTAGGAAGCCTAGCCAGCATAGCCAGTTGTGTCTGGCGTTATAGTTCAACATCTGAAATACTACATTTGCCCACCTCTGCTTTAAAACTAGTATTTAAATGAATGACAGTGCAGCTGTGTGTTCCCTTACACATACATATTAGTTCTAAGTCGGAATCCAGTTTGATGGGTAGAGGCAAGTTGCCTGAACACACAAAGAAAAGAATGCTCTACCTGTGACTTAGTGGTCTGAGCACTGGACTAGCACTCCAGAAGATCATATTTTGTATCTCCACTCAGCCATGGAAATCCACCAGGTGACCTTGAATAAGTCATGTTCACTTGTCATCAGAGAAACGCCATGGCAAACCCTCTTCTGAATAAAATCTTGCCAGAAAAATCCAACAATAGTTTTGCTGAGGGCCATCATCGATCAAAAAGAACCTGAAGGCACACAATAACTAGACCATTCTATTGCATATTCCACTTAACCGATTATTTCAAAGCTGCAGCTGAAATTAAGTGGGAGAGGAAACTTTAGCATCTTTCTAGAGCAGTGATTTTGGGAGACTAGTCCTATCAAAGTGCATTCACCTAGTGCTCTTTTTCTCTCTCCAGTTCCAGGGAGGTGTGTGGTCCTTGAGCACAGCCCTCTGTGATGCCTTGATGACTATGGATGTGATGTTATGCACAGCCTCTATTTTCAACCTCTGTGCGATCAGCGTGGATAGGTAAGCATTTCTGTGCATGGCTAGGTCAAAAATTTTGGGGACTCCACAAACAAACTGATGGATGAGTTGTTGAAGACTTTGATGGAGTTCTGCACTATATCTGAAGACACTAGAGAGGTTTACAAGCTCAGGCAAGGGCATATATTCACACATAAATCTGTTCTTCAGCAGAGAGCAGTGGCCCAGCTTTTCAGAAAGAATAGTCCAAGGTCTGCTGGTGATCTGCCTCCATTAGCCAACTGGGCAATTGTTTCACTCTGCATAATACTCAGGCCAGCTCTGTGCCTGCAGTTTACCAAAGAAAATCACAGTATTATAGATCTGGAAGAGACCCTATGGGCCATCATGTCCAACCCCCTGCTCAGTACAGGATCTCCAGCTAAATCAGAGATATCCAGATACCTCAGCACCTCTCTAGTCAGTTCGTTCCATTATCAGTACTCCTCATCCCTTGAAGGAATAATTTGCAGTGAAAAATTGTGTAGCCACTCCTTTTGTAAGGTTTGAGTAATCCCAAGAAAGGCATTTTCTAGTTATGAATTAAGAGGGACAAATAGTACCTGACAATGTTTTCAAGGGATGTCAGCATGCCACATTCCCCATTCTAATCTAGGGTACTGCACAGCTGATTTATTCTATTTTTAAAAAAGTGAATGGCAAATGTACCCTTAACATAATGTATTTCAATATCAGTCAGCAGCAGTTGGAGAAACAGGCCACCAATGTCACAATCCTGTTGGCAAAGATAGGAGACTTTTTAGTCATTCTCCACAGTGATACTTTTTAGTCAGCTTTTAAAGTACTACTGAAGGAAAACTAAAAGAGGTGGAGCAGTAAATCTTCTCCCCTTTCCCACCTGAAGTTATCATCCAGGAAACTGTTAACACACAGCTATCCTCAGATCTATGCTTTGGTGTGAAAATTCCCATCCAAGGACTAAGACTATTGTATCATGTGTGGAAAAGCCCACCAGGGGTGGCAGGTGGGTAGGTGTACTAGCCACACACTCTTACTCTTTGCAAGCTCATTTGACCCCAGCATGACCATTCTAAGCAAAAGGTCCAAAAATAGCATTTCTGTACATTTAGCTTAGTTCAGTTCAATTTACTTTTATTGTCTTAGAGCAAATCCAAAACAAAACCTAAACACAATACCATAAACCCTGATGAAAAATTGATAGTAAATAAACACATCATATTCATTTCTATATTATTACAATAATATTACAAATAATTATATAATTACAAATAATAAAAGAGCCACAATGTCCAAATTCAAATATCAGCAATGAAGTATTTAATAAGGAAAACCCAGGTTCTGTCTATATAGGTAAACAAAAATATGCCATAATTTGCATCCTCATAAGTTCTTTGGCTTTTAAACGACTTTAAAAGCATTACCTTTTTCTCCTCATTCTGGCCAAAGAGTTGCATGAGTTCCAGAGGATTTTGTTTGTGTGTGTGATCATTAACAACAGCTGGCTTTGCATTGGAGTTGGGTGAAGAGTTAGGGAAGGCCTAAGCTGGTTGGTTGGAGGTGACAAGGGCCAGCAGGTCATATGATTATTCCTGCCAAGAAGTGGGTTTATTGATCGTTTAATTTTCAACATGAAATTAATGCCATTTTTAAAAAAAATGTGTATGCAGATAATCGCAGATCAGTATCCTCATATAACAGTATTAGCACATCCCCTGCACAACAGGATGGATAAACCTTAGGCAGAAATACCTATATTCACATGCATAATAGAAAGAAGAATAAAGCCAAGAGGTCACTGCCATGTAGTCAGCAATAGTTCAGATCGGAAGATTTTTTTGCAAGCTTGTTTACACACTTGCATGAATGTGCCCATCTTTCCCCTTCAGATGTTTTTTCCAACATGTTAAAGTTTAGGGTGGATATTGGGAGTGGGGCAAACATACCATATTTGGGGGTGGGCTTCTCTGTGGCATGTGGGTTCTGATTCTTCTCATAACCTGACTTGGAGGAGGATTGTTGGAAAATTAAACAGGGTAGAGATTAACAGGGGCTTTTTAAGTAGGAAGTGCTGTGACACAGATAGCGCTTAAGGTACGAAAGGAAAGTACGCATAGATTGAGATCCTCTTAATCGCTGGCTGAGTGTAGAGTTCTACCATCATACTTCCACCAATCCTCCTCTTCCACCCTCAGCCTCAACTCAGAGTGCTCTGCCATGGCTAGTCAATGAGCAGGTACCTCCTAGGCTCCCATCTTACTGCAGTTTTACATTAAGGAAAGATGAAAGAGCCATGGCCTCTTGGAGCTGGTCTGGAAGTATGACTGCAGCTGGATGATGCTAAGGAACCCCTGCCCACTGATCAGCCAAAATGCCTTAAGTGGGAACACATGGGGTGAGGACTAAAGTAGCCTCACTGAAAACTGGTGAGGGCTCCCATAATTGTGCAGAGAATGGAATTCCATCAGATAACTGCTGAAATTCTCACTTCTTCACAACCATTAAAGATACAGAAGCCATCTCTAGTTTTCAGTCTGGCATCCCTAGTTGGACTCCATGCACATAATTAAAATGAAGAACAATTTTAACAAATATGAACTTATTAGTATTTCAATGGGAAGTGTGGCCCTGCTTTTAGCTGATGAGATACGATTGTTGTTGTTGGGTGCTTTCAAGTCGTTTCAGACTTAGGCTGACCCTGAACGAGGGCCGGGTAAATGACCTTGGAGGGCCGTATCTGGCCCTTGGGCCTTAGTTTGAGGACCCCTGGTCTAGATAACCTTTAACGTTAGGCAATAAACTGTGTTAATTAAAGCCATGAAAAACTCTGTGTGTTTTGTTGCATTTTTTTCATCATCTGAGATATCTGAAATTTGTATTTCTCCCTAGTCTCCACTATAAAGAATGCACTGTTAAATTGCAGAACTGGGAATTTTTTCAAAGGCCATATAATTCTTGAATTATTTGTTAATTTTTCCGATGACAGCAGGATTTTAATACATTCATTCCTCCCAGTGATAATTATTATTACTAAGTGTACCTTTGTCCTTTTAATAGCAATCCAGTTTTTTGCTAAAATAATAATGTATTTCACATCTCTCCCATTTCCCCATATAAAATGTATTCATAGCAGTGAATGAATCATGAACAATCATATAAACCTTAGCAATGTTTATTCAATATGAGCAGCAATAAATAAAATGGCTGTAGTAGCAAACACAAAAACAAATGAAAACTGTTAATAATAGAAAAGAATGTGTTGATGATTGCCTATGTGAACAGACAGTGATTTTAGCCTAACTGAAAACAAAAAAAAATAAACAATTTTCTGATACATAACGTGTTATGGTGCCATCATTGAAAATAGCATTTTCTTACTGCCAATCTGTCAGACTGTGGTGGACTAGAAAATGGAGGCAATGAAGACTATCTAAAGATTCAAGCAGTCTCATGTAGGTGAAGGTGGTTCTTGGAACAACTGAGATTTCTATGGACTTCAAGCTGAAACCCTAAATATTCAAGAATAAGCACCATTTTGTGCCATGGGAGTTACTTCTGGGTACTTCTTGAGTCCTTTTGGGGAGATAGGGTGGTATATAAATGATGATGATGATGATGATGATGATGATGATGATGATGATGATGATGATGATGATTATTATTATTATTATTATTATTATTATTAGAATGCACAGAATTGCATTTTTAAAATAGTACCAGACTGGCACAATAAATTGAACGTAGAAATGAACAGCTAACCAAATACAGCTGATGGAAAACTGAATGTGCTTGATTTGTCAAACATGAATGTTGCTGTCAGTTCATTTTGTACCAGATGCAGTTTCCAAACTGTTTCTGAAGGCAGCCCCATATATAGAAGTAATAGCACACCAGACCAGAAAGATGGAGGATGTTTCTGGCAAAGACTATGTTTCTGTATAGTAGGAATGTTTTCAGGCTCTCCTTCCACCTTCACTCCTCACATCAGCCTTTCAAGCTGTGCTGAATGAGCAAGATCTGTTGAAAAATAATTGCAAAGGAATGTCAGTTTCATCATGAAATCATAGATATATGAGACGAGAGACTCATCTAGTACATGACAATATGTTACAGATATTATAAGAGAGATCTTTTAAACATTAATTTAAAATACATTTGAATTAGTTAGCTATCCATCCTTTGTCAGAAAAATAGTCTGGAGAATATGCTTGACTGAAAACACTGTCTCTATTGCTAGCCAAGTCTCAGTTTCCAAGTTCCTTATCTTCAATAAATCTACTGATGTTTAACATCTGCCCTAAAAGACCAAGTGAGTTCCATTTGTTGTAATTTAAACCCCTTTTATTGATAGTGTTGAAATACCTTTCCTTAGCCCAGGTGATAAAGATAATGAGGGAAAAGTTTGGGTGGGACAGGGTCAGGCCTGTAGCGGGGGGGGGGGGGGGTTAGGGGTTCAACCCCCCCCCCCCGAAATTTTTCAGGTTAAAAAAAACTGGTTTACTCATGAATTTTAACTGGTTAACCAAATCCCCATGCTAAGTCTATGAGACGCAAAAAATTAAGAGTCCCTCCAGAACTGCAAGCACTATCTCAAGCAAATATTGACAATTTATTCACACTGTCATTACTTGCAGCAATAGCCGATGTAGCGAAGCAACCAAGTGGGGGGGGGGGTTGAATGCTCTCATTAAGGAGGCCAGACTTGGTGGAGGTGGTTGACAGGGGCAGAGCTGCAGGCTATTGAAGGCTGCTCTGCCCCCTGCTGTGCTCTTTGCTTCAGCATGAGCTAGGAGGCAGGTTTCAAACCCCCCCCCCCCGGTGAAATTTAAAAAAAACCCTGAAATTTTCAACCCCTCACAAAAAAAATTTCTGGCTACAGCCCTTGGTGGGGTGGATGAGTGGGTGGGGTGGGTGACCCTTCTTTGTAGGCTAGGTGTACAAACTGACTGCTGCATCGAGGCATTTTGGGAGCACAGTACTCCAGATTATTTCATTCAGTGTAGATCCAGCCTCAGGTGGCGTTGAGGTTTCCTCCCAGCAGTATGCACCATGTTACCCAAACAGCAGGTGAGGAGGTTATACTATTCCTGTGTGCTTTCATGCCAGTGCTCATCTGTCCATACAAAAGTTCTCACAGAAAACTAGATGTTATTGAAAAGAAGCCTTTGTGACCAGTTTTCGTCATAATATAATCGTTGTACAGTATATACATTGTTATCTTTTTCTAGTGTGAAAGTTCACAGCTACGAAGTAGCACTGTCTAGGAACAACTTTTGCATCTCATCTGCCATTGTTTTCATCCGTAAACTAGGCCTCTGACTCCCCTGACAGCAACAAAAAGACTCACTCTCAGGAAGAGGATACATATGCTACTGTATGCTAGCTTAGAAGTTAAAGTGGTTATTTCTTTTTTTAATGCTTTCCTCTCAGGAACCCTCATGACTTTATGGATAGGTTCACTGAAAGGTTTGGATGAGATAGGATGCTATTTTGTTCCTTTTTTAAAGTGGATTTTGAGATATGTAGTAAAGTAACAACATGGAGGTGTTCTGTGAGGGAATTTTGGACAAAGTGGCATGAGGAAGAGAAAGCAGAGAATTTTCAGTCAATCAACCAAAGCTGAGCAGATAAATAAAATTTCTAGGAAGGGATGCCTTGGGCATAAAGAACTAAGCGACAAGGGCACTGTCTGTTGTGTTTTTCCTATGATAGACTGCAACTCCCATCAACCTTAACTAGCATCGCAGGGAATACTGGATCAGTTATACCAAGGAGCCCCATAGCTTCACCCTGTTTTCTGTCTTCCAGGTTCATTGCTGTCTCTATCCCACTGAACTACAACCGTCGGCAAATCGATCTGCGGCAAACGGTTCTCATCTCCACCACCTGGATCTTTGCATTTGCTGTGGCCTCCCCAGTCATTTTTGGCCTAAACAATGTTCCAAACCGGGACCCCACTTTGTGTCAGCTGGAGGATAACAACTACATTGTGTACTCTTCCATCTGCTCCTTCTTCATTCCTTGTCCTGTCATGCTGGTCCTCTACTGTGCCATGTTCCAAGGACTTCGGCGTTGGGAGGAGGCTCGGAAGGCCAAGCTGAAGAGCAGCATTTATTTGGGGAATAGGCGGCTGTATTGTCCACCACCGGTCATTGAGAGGAACCAAAGTGGGATTAGGTTGCAGGAGAACAACCTATATGCACGCTCTGAATGCTCTTATCCTAAGGATTACATGAACAATGGTATTCAGACTATAACCTGTCCACACCTCAAATATCCACCACATGGAGGACTCAAAAGGAAGCCAGCCAAAATCAATGGCCGGGAAAGAAAAGCCATGAAAGTGCTGCCAGTTGTGGTTGGTAAGTGTTCACTGCTTGAAGTTATTAACCAGATTGAGAGTTAACAGACTGGTAAAAAAAAAAAAGGGGGGGGGTCCTAGGGGCCTTGTGTTTTTTAAGGGATGCAGCTATAGAGCAAAACATTTGAAAATACATGACAACATATATATGCCTTTTTTGTCCCCATGTGTTGTGGTCTCTTGACCCCCAAAGTGCTGGGAACAAACACACAGGCTGTCAGTTGTCAACTGTCAGTTTTTCTCCTGAGAGATGCTCTGTAACCTTTTAACAGTAGTATAGCAAGCTGAAATTGAACAGGGAAATCTTCTTCACCGCTACCACTCCAAACTAGGAATCATTTTCTTTTCATGGACCTGCTGATTATTACTACAAGGGAACACAGTTTTTCCAGAGCAGATATCTCAAGTGCTTGGTAAATTCATACAGATTTCATTGAATACAATTCACACAAGCGTTCATAGACTCATAGAATTGTAGAATTGGAAGGTGCTCCCAAGAGTCATCTAGTCAATCCTCTACCAGTTCAGGAATACACAGCTTAGGTGTCCCTGAAAGATTACCATCCAACCTTTTATTTAAAAGTCTCCAAAAAAGTCTATGTTACTATCAAATAAATCAGAAATTTCTTCCCAATTTTTTATTAAAACCTTTCAAAAAATCAAAACCATAAGAGAAGAGAGAGTTCATATATTGTTAGGTCTTTGAACAAATCAGTAGTCAGTTTCTAAATGAAGATGTTTATTTGGGATTCCAGGAGCTGTTCTCCAAAATGCAGCTTTTCTAAGCTCTGGTTCCTTGGGCCAACCAATTAAATGAACCTTAATAGCAAGTCCACTGATGTAAATCTGAGGACTTGGAAATGTCTATCCTGGTCAAAATGTTTCAGATAATGGGATGGCATGCCAATTAAAACTTTAAATGTCATCACCAATATTGGGGGGAGGGGCTTAGAAACACACAGGTAGATATTAATATGGTATAGAACCGGCATGAGCAAACTAAGGCCCACAGGCCGGATGCGGCACACTGGGCACTTACTTCAGGCCCTGACCTCTTGGCATAAGGACACGGTGGTCTGTCCTTATGTCAAAAAGATGGAGGAGGAAGGCACATAGCAGCCGAGAGCCCTCTGGAGCGCTGTCAACCACTGTTGTCTCACCTCCTCCCCCCCCCCCCCCCCCCCCCCCCCCCCCCACCTCAGCATAAGGATGGTGTGAGCGACCCCATCCTTATGCTGAGAGGATGGCTCAAGGAAGGCACACAGCAGCCAAGAGCCCCTGGAGTATACTCAGTCACCATCTGTTTCTCCCTTCTCCCAGCATAATGCCAAGAGGACAGCCTGAAGATTAGGGGAGGAGGATGGGAAGGAGGCTAGGGCAGTGGCCCTGTGTCCCGTCTTCTTTCCAGCATAAGGATGGGACAAGCAGCCCTGTCCTTATGCTGGGAGGACAACCTGAGGATGACCCAGGCCCTGCCCTGCCCCCTCCTGGGCCAATCCTTTCCTGGGCCCTCCCCGCCCAGCGTGTGCCCGGCTCCCCTTCCTCCTGACCCAGCATCCCAACAAGGCCCACAATGGAGCCCCAAGGTAAAAAAGTTTGCCCATGCCTGGTATAGAAGCTCTCTGATCACCTTAACCCCCAGAAGAAACCTAGGCGTACGGTGTGTCCAAGATTCTAACTTGTTTTTAAAGGCAGCCTCGCTTAAAGCAGATTACAGTACTTTAGTCAGGGATGAACTGCTGTACCAAGGGATGAATATTTGTACCAAAATGTGTTCCCTACAGACTGAAAAAGGCATCCTGGCTGGCATATAGTGATGACTGCACTCCTATAGATATCTGGTACTTGAGAGCAATCCATTGCAACAGTGTTGGCCACATATCTCAGTGTAGAACAGCGGATTCCTCTGCCCTTAGTAGTTCTGCTTAAATGTCCCTTCAGAATTCCCTCCTTGGTCCACTGAGTTAAGTAGCACAAGCAATAGAGAGGGATAATTCAAGTGATAAGCAGCAGGAATCTTTCAGCAGGTAACTCTTTCAGATATTTCAGTCGTGCTTAATTTCATGCATGATTCATCCCCCTCGAGATCTATCCAGACTCCCCCTTTCAGATTTTGAAGCTCTAGACTCTGACAAAAGAAAGAAATTAAGGATCCCAACCTTGTGTGGTGTTCAGCTTCTGTATATATGTATCAGTGCTGTTAGCATCTTTTTCAAGTCACAGAAACATTTCAAGCTCAGCTGAGGAACAGAGGAATAGCTTCCCTTGTTACCTGCAGAGAGTTGACAGAAGAGGAAAGAATGTGAATGAGCTGAGTTTGAGCTGCTTCTCTCTCTCTCTTGCTAACTAAAGCATAGCATAATCAACAGCAGGCAAAATTGTTTATAGTGGTAGAGTGTACTGTAATAGCCTATGGCATATTTTGAATTTCTGTGGTTGTGGAATATGCACTGTGACAGCAGATGCCACCCATTTCAACAGGGGATCAAGAATACACTCATCCTAAAAATGTATTACTCTAAACCCACAATGTGCTTATCATAATTCTTTTCTTACAGTGTCTGTATTTCATAATTTCTGAAAAATCCTACCTAGTAAAATGCCAGATCACAACCAGAGTAGTAACTTTTTCCAATAATCCGTGAGGGCAAGTGTGAGGGACATTTGAGGGATGCAGGCAGGAGCTGAAATCCAAAACATCTGAAGACCAAAAAGTTTCCTGTAGCTGGAGAAGAATACAGAGCTCTGTGAAAGAGACACATAGACAGGCATGTAGCCGGGGGGGGGGGGGGGGGGTGGGGGGCTTCAGCCCCCCTCCCCCCCCGAAATTCTCATGGTGGTTCGCAAAAGGCCTTACTGGTGCATTATTTGAACTGTTATGTTTATTCATATCATGATCTGATCACCATACTCAATATATCCCAGATGCATGGGGGTATTGGGGTAATGATACAAAAGGTTTGCTAGGCTAGACCCTCTTTCACTCAGACTCAGCCCCCCCCCCGAAACTCAGCCCCCCCGAAACCCCCCCTGAAAAAAATTCAGCCCCCCCCCCCCCCGAAACGAAATCCTGGCTACGGGCCTGCACATAGAGTTCTCCCCACTATAAAGGTTATCAGTGTTTGCCAAAGGATTGTATGTTCTGTACATCCAAAGAAATATACACTTAGTTCTCTTTCTTAATTTGCTGTGCTGAACAGATGGTACTAAAACAAACATAAAACTCCGTAAAGATTTCTAATTTGCAATGGCTAGATCAAGTGAGAGTGCCTTTTTCAGTTTTAGGGCTCAACTAAGTGTACAAGAGGTGATCAGGGCCCAAATTCCAGTAGCTTGCTGTACCAAAGAGATGGAACAGGGGTATGTGTGACAGGAAGTGCCAGCATATTTTAGCTTAAAACTCTTGCTGCTAGTAACTAAGTTCTAGGAAAAATATTTCAATCTTTTAGAAGGGAGCACAGGAAAACTAGGAAACTACTGGTTGATTAGTATCCCAGGAAGTCCTGACATTACCTGACTCGTTTTCAAAACGGACATGACAACTCTTCTCCCATGTGCCAACCTGGTCGTTTAGTGGAAGCTCTTAACATCTTCTTCATTGGGAGCCCTTAATGCCAACAATGCCATCTGCCTTATTTCTTTAACAATAAATATGTCAGGTCTGGACCATTTGTAGTGGGGTTGGGAATAGTCTTTTATCTGTGTCTGCATCTCAACAGCAGTTATTAATAACATTAGTGGTTAAATTATTATTGGTTTTAGAGTTGACATCCTGCTCATGCCAGAGTGTCCAAAACTGAGGATGGCCTCACAGTATTTACCTATGTAATAACCATATGAAATAGGCCACTATTGTTTGTGTTTCCCACACAGCAGAATTGGGACTTAAATCAGGTCACTTTGGCCATATCAGTGACCACTTCATGCAGAACACTTGCCTTTTGAAAACTGTTTCTCTGCTGTTTCTGATCCATATAGTAGACAGTTTTGTGTTTAATTGCTTGTTACACAGATTTGGCCTCACTGCATGCTTTGTATTTGTCCTGGTAAACCATTGATATTTGCAAAGGATCTTGCTAGGGCAGATAGCTACTTGTATAAAAGTCTTTTTAACCCCAGTTGTGAGAAACGGCCCTACCTTGCCATCCAAGAGTCTATTCCTTCCATGATTAAATAGGAGCATCTGCTTTTAATGAGAGCCTGTAGCACATTTTAGCGATATCAGATGGAATTTCACTAGAAGGGTGAGCAAAAATGAAAAGAGAAAATCCAATAATGGGATTCAATTGGTGTTGGAGCCCATTATTGAACAAAATAAATAATTGAGATCATAAGAGACTTTTCCTGAAGCCTTTATTCAGTTAATGCTGAAATAGTTATATCAGGGGCCCTTGGGGCTCTTCGATTATTAATGGTTTTAACAGCTCCACTGCTTCTTTCCCTTCGTCACCATTTACACCCAGAAGAATCCCTGCTATTGAACAGTGATACGTATGTGTCTCCTGAAGAGTGCTCACTAAACATGGGTCAGAGAACACTCTTGTGCCTTGTCACAGTCATCCCACATGAAGGTAGGGCAAAATGGTATACATTATACCTTCATAGTCTCTCAGAGTTAGAGGATACAGCACTGAGATGCCAAATTTGGTTCCTAAGAGGATTCCACTGTAAAAGGTGATTTCAGCAGATTGCTCTTTGTCCTGCTTCAGTTGTATTGCTACGGAAGGAATTGTATATATGAGAATTCTCCCAAATAAAGGTAGGAGCCCTACTCAATATGTAATATGGTGCTCTAATAACATTATACTTGTCCCCGTTGCTTGTATTCAGATGACCGAGAAATCGTATAGAACTTTTACATCTCAAGATACACCCTCAGTTTGTAAAATTGTTTGAGGGTATATAAAGGTGGAAATTGCCCTCTTTGTCCTTCCATCTCTCTTCCTGTCATGTACTAGCTTTGGTACGTATTAAGTCAGGGCTTCTTCCTGCCTTCATATTGAGATATTCTGGCTTACAACCAATTAACAAATGAGAAAAATAAGATAGAATTGTATTCTGGTTTGGGAAAGAGCCATTGTTACCATACACTGAAGTCTGTATCCCCAGGTTGTACACAAACAGAAAAAAAATCTTGCTTAGTACAAGCAGAGTTACCAGGTGAAATAAAGGGCTCATATCACTTTAAAGTTTATGTCAAAGAGGGAATTTGAGCAGGTGTAGCTGGCATAGAAAGCAACACTTGTTTAAATTCTCTTTTGTACACTAGGCATGGTTAGGTTTGGTCAGAATCTTCGTAATTCAGAATAAATTCAGAAAGATTTCCTTTTTGAAGCGATTTCGCAGTTTTTAAGGAAACCGGAAGTCCTTTTGCCCTTCCGAAGCTTTTCCCGCCATTTCTCTTATGAATCAGTAAGTGAGTCGGAAATGATTCAGCTTTCCAAACCAGTGTGGATGGATTCCCTTCGGTTTCCTTTCCCTCCTGGTCAGCCTTGGGCAAGAGATGCCGTTTAAACCAGTTTGGATGGATTCCCTTTGGTTTCCTTTCCCTCCCACGATTTCTTCCTGCCCAATGAAACTGGAAATAACACTTTGAAACCATTAACGAAAGATTCAGAAGTCTCTGAAGTTTTGAAAAGTTTTGAACTTTTTTTTCTGTGAAAATTGGAATTGACTTTAGATCCGAACCACCAGCACCTCCTACATCCGAAATGAGTTTTGAACCATTTTTTAATCAAACAAGCCTATTGTACACCCTTCTCTTACTTCACCTAGTACTCCTAAGTGTAACTCAGTATTTCCATGGCAAGATTATTAAGCTCCGGTACTTATTCATAAATCCAGTCTAGATTATGAGATACAATAGGCCCCAAGTATACTTTTCAGAAACAATGTCCAGGTGCTACTTACCAACAGCCTCTGCTAGATTTATGCAGATATTCATAATCTCTTTTGGATTGGATCCAGAGTAAAGCACTTGTAACTAGACTGAAATAAGAGGACTTCTCTACCCATTACCCTTCATAGCACCTCTGCAAGACCTACATTATTTCATTGCATTATTTTGTTAATATCAGCATTTATCTGATGTTATTCTCTGTTGTATGTGTTTTACTTTGCCTTATTGTAATTTCTTGGGCCTTGTGTTAGCTGCTCTGAGTCTTTTTGGGGAGATGGTGGTGGGGTATAACTAAAGTATTATTATTATTATTATTATTATTATTATTATTATTATTATTATTATTACCTTCTGCTCTACACAAATCCTGCACAAATCCTGCTAAATGGGATAATCTGCAAGATAGAGGCATCTTCTTAATGCCAATGTTATATTTGCTTATTTATTTATGTATGTATTGTATCAGACGTGAACTGAGAGTACACTTGTAATGCATTTTTAAAGTTTTTAAAACTTGGCATTATACCATATATTTAGTGTAAATATATACTAAATATATTTTTCTTATAGCAACACCAGAGGCACTCCAAGTGGCCAGCTACTGATCAAAGGACATTTAGTTATATTTGCTAATATGTAATAAGATTTGTTTTTCAGTCAGGTGCCAGAAGTAGAATTTATGGACTGGGGGAAATCTACAATATTGGAATAAATTGCAGGGCAAGGGTTTTAAAAATTCTTGCTTGCTGAAAACAGCTAGTCTAAATTAAGGAAATTTTGCTGGAGTTGCACTATTTATCAGTGTGTGGCCAAAGTCATATCACTGGCTGATTAAATTTCTTCCACTGAATTGCTGAAGTAATTTTCACTCACCTAGTGAAACAGTAAAAGGAACTAGGGCTTTGAAAGACAAGCTGTTTCTGTAACTATAATCTACAGAAGGGCTACTGAACCATTTTATTGATTGTAGTAGTATAAAGACACAGGGTGAGTTTTTTGTTTTAGTTTTTTTTTAGTTCCATGTTAAATTGGCTAGTTGGTGCCAAGGTACAGTACTAATATTCTCCCAGTCACAGATACCTTGAGATATGTTTCATAACATTTGTTATGAAACATGTTTTAGAATGCTTAAAATAAATAATGCTGCATTTGACTCTGGACGCTTCCAGAGATGTTTTTACCATGTCGTTGGCTTGCCTCATTCACATAATTTTACAGGAAGTCTGGATGCTGTCATTTTCCAAACATCCACCATTTCCCATTGTTGCTTATACCATTTTTTTTCTCTCCACAATAAAATCTGTTAAAGAACAAAACAGAATAGCTCTATCATGTATTTTGACTGGCAGTATCCATAACTATTTGCCTGGAAGTGCTTTCAGTGTAAGCATGAACACTAATGTCACAGAACTTTAACTTACTCATCAACACTTCACAACCAGGCAACAGAAATAGGAAACATGGGACTGGAGAAGTGTATTTTATAGGACTAACCCTTTCACATGAGAAGGACTCAGGAAGGAATTTAGATTGTGCAGCTTCATAATGAAAAAATAACCATAAAGCAAAGATGAGGGATTATATGGCCTTCCAGATATTGTTGGAACTGCAACTCCCATCAACCCTACCTAGTATTGCCAGAAAGGCCTGTTGGAGGTTGCAATGCAGCAACATCTGGATGGTCACATATTCTTCAACTCTGCACCAAGCCTTTCTGGGCATCTTGGGGTAATTATATGGGTGTGTTGAGTGTGCTTTTACTGCATGACTGGAGGTTGGACTGAATGTCCCTTGTAGTCTCTTCCAACCCTATGACTCTGGGCCTTTCCACAATATCAAGACAGAAAATCCCACATTATCTGAATGTGGACTCAGATAATCCAGTTCAAAGCAGAAAAAGTGGGATTTTCTGTTTTGATATTCTGGGATATAGGGCTGTGTGGAAGGGCCCTCTGACTCTATATGGAGAGTTTGGTTTCTGTTTTGGGGAAAATCTGTTCTGCTTTGAAAAACCTAAAGCCTCTTCCACACAACTGTATAAAATCCACATTGCAGTGTGTACTAATATAACCCTGTTCAAAGCAAATAGTTTGAATTATCTGGCTTGATATTCTGGGTTATATGGCTGTGTGGAAGGACCCTAAGAGTACATTATGCTGTAGCTTAGTGAGGCACCAGCACAATTTGGCAGAGAAAGCTAAAGACCTTGTAAAATTGCAACTCCCAGGATTCCACAAGATTGAACCATGGCAGTTAAAATGGTGTCAAACTTCTTTAATTCTACAGTGCAGATGTACCCTAAGATGTAAACGACTAACTCATGGTTTAGAGTGTAACTCTTGTTTTCTTCCTATGTGTCTTACAGGTGCTTTCCTTTTCTGCTGGACTCCTTTCTTTGTGGTCCATATAACCAGAGCTCTGTGTACGTCCTGCACCATTCCCAGTGAAGTCACCAGCATAGTCACATGGCTGGGATACGTCAATAGTGCCCTAAACCCAATCATCTACACTGTATTCAACACCGAGTTTAGGAACTTCTTCCGCAAAGTTTTGCACATCTTCTGCTAACACTGCTGGATTCTAAATATAGAACTGGACTCTGAATATAGAACAGAGGTTATTGCACAGTGCACTAAAAACCAGACAAAAACAACATCTTTGTATAGTTTATTAAAGATTTATTTCTTGGTACACAACTGTGTTTTTCAGTCTTTTCTCCCTGCTTTGGTGAAGACAGAGGTGACAATATAGTTCCTCACTGGCAAACACAAAACTTGCCAAATTTAATTTTTTTCCTTTTGCCATCTTGATGCCAACTTCAGGCAGAAAATTTGAATATGAACTACGGTGGTTGCCCCGTAATTATACACGACCAATTCTACTTATTTGGTGAGATTTCCATCATTGCCTGAAAAAAAAATAATGATCTCTCTGGTACCCCACTGTACACTTCTGTCTTGTCTGAAGACCTTTTTTGGAGTTTGCCATCTTGATGTCAAATTCAGGCAGATGTTTGAATACAGAGTCTACTCACAATAGTTGCCATCCAATGAAGACGCCATCTTCTGTTGGAGAAGAGTACAGTCACCTACTAGTGATAGAAATGGGAATCATTAGGTCCTCCAGATATTTCAGTTCCCAGCTTTCATTATCATTGGCTATGCTATCTAGGACTGATGTGAGTTGCAGTCTAACGATATCTGGGGGGCCATAGAATTTCTATCTCTGCTGTCATAATACGGACTATAGTAAAAATAAAATGTATTTTGAGGGGGAAAAACAGCATTGTGGAGCCACCTGCAGATAATAATGAATAAAGCCACTCTTTTTCCTAATACTTATTTCATTAATCACAAATTAGTAAGCCAAGTCTCTGCTTCTCCTCACAATTTTGTCAGCACTAGTGCCCATCTAAGCAGACTGGCAAACTATTAGTGCCACCCAGCAGTCCAAATTAACCCTATGCCAGTGTAGGTTTGTTTTTGATCACTGGAGAAGTTAATTGTCCCTTTAACACCGCAAGGATGAAAAACTCAACAGTGAAAAACTGTTTGTGCTCAAGTGCACATACAGTAACCAAAGCAACTCCACAATCTGATGTAGAAGCACTGACAGGTTTCCCAAAGCATGCTTGGAGGAGAAAGGAGGGTTGCAGAAATATCTGGCCACATACAAAGCTATTAGATCAGTTGATGAGTCCTCTGGAGAACTTAGTGAGTGATGTAGTGGTTTCTCATTGGCTACAGCAACAGACACTTTTCCCAATCCTTCCTCCCTCTTTCAAGCATGAATGTCCACGTGGGGTGGGTTGGCCCAGATGGAATTCATTAGCTTAGCAAAGCATGGTTATGCATATCTAACTACTGAGCTGCTGAGCCATGCAGGATTGCAGGCTATTTGGTTGCCTCTCCACTTTCGTGGGGATTAGGGGCACCTATATAACAGCTATATAAGGGATTGGACTGGAAGGCTGTTGTGGTCTCTTCCAACTCTATTTTGTTTTCCGTATCAGGAGCAACTTGGGAAACTGCAAGTCACTTCTGGTGTGAGAGAATTGGTCATCTGCAGGGACGTTGCCCAGGGGATGCTCAGATATTTGATATTTTACTATCCTTGTGGGAGGCTTCTCACATGTCCTTGCATGGGGAACTGGAGCTGACAGAGGGAGCTCAATCTGCTCTCCCCAGATTCAAACCATCCTGCTGGCCAAAGGGTTTAATCCATTGTACTACTTGGGGGCTCCTTCCAACTCTATGATTCTATGAGCTTAAATTTCAAGGCTCACAATCCATATTCCATAGCTGTACTTTGACAGAAGTGTGAAAATACCTAGCCCATTCCTAGCAAGATAAGGAGTGAACATTCAACTTGTAAAAAGAACCCACACCCATCTATTTTTTAAAAAGTTGTCACATCTTCAGATCTACCATAGTTCATTATTAACGGCCAAAGCCAGACAGTGAAAGATTGACAAGAGGAAGAGTGACAAACGTGAGCAAAGATGCTAACAGAAGGCCGGCAGGTCACGGAAAGGTGAGAACTGTTTGGATGAAAGTATGTTTAATTCATATTTGATGTCATTTGTAGTAGTTTTGTGCCTCTAGTAGAACCTCAGATGTATAATGAAGGAAAAGCATAGAAATTTTCCTTTATTCCCTTTATCTCATGCTCATTTATTAATCATTCTTTGAACTCTCACAACACTTGAAATTTAATTGAATATTCCGGATGAGAGTTTTACTAAATGGATGTTCAGGATGCAAAAGTATATTTGCATTTTATAAGGGTAATTGTTTTGGAGAGATGAAATTAAAATACAGAATCACAATGAGCCTGCCATATCTGATAGGATTTGGTTCCAAAACACACAAAAACCAGTGCCGGATTTATCATTGTGATTAGGTGTGTACATGGCCCTGTTGACCAGGGGAGCCTATCTTCCTTCCAAAAAAAAAACTTTTATGATTAATTTTGCTTATGTGGTGCAATTCTAAAGTTGAAGGCTTTCTGTTTCAAAGTGATTTCAGACATAATGATAGAGTTGATATCGTCTATGGGAGTGTGCCACAAAGCAGGCAGTGGAGGCCTATCAGACCAGCCTCCTTCAGGGCCCAAGTAAGAAAGGACCTCATAACTTAACTAACTTAACTCATTTGCCCTATATCTGGCACTGACAAAAATGCAAAGTATCATGCCTCATATTATTAAAAAATGCACCATGGAGCATGATGATTTGTGGCTCCTGGAAATCACAGATCCTGGTAAGTCAATTTTGAAGTCCCCAAGGAATGTATATCTCTGAACTATGGGGTGGAACCAGGTTTAATCATGCCTAGAGTTCAGAACCAGAACTGAGCATGTGTTTTATTAAATCTACATGCTAAGCAAGATTTCTCCCTATTGTTTTTTGAAATTTCACTTCACTGTGGGCTGAAATTTGCTATAGGCTTAGGATAGGCTAGGCTTGTAGCTTAATTGATTTTTTTTCTGAATCCCAGTTCTGTACATATAGTAGACTTTTCACATTTGGGGGGTTTATACTTGTGGTTTTGATTATTTGCAAGTTTGAAATGCCGTCACTTCCCGAAGTAAATTATGAGAAATGCTGGGAGGGTAGTAACCTGTCACATTTCTGAGAAGTACTAATTGTACATAGGAGACCTACCGGCCAACATATTTTCCATGCAGTCTGCATGTTCCTAAAGTGATAAAATGGCAAATCACAATCTACTTAGCTGGCAGGAAACACAAAGAAGCCAAATGGAAATTTAAAATTACATGTTCACTGGGATAATAATAATAATAATAATAATAATAATAATAATAATAATAATAATGGAAAATTGAGAGCCAAATTGACAGAAAAACATGAATGTGGCTCACAAATGGAACTTTGAAAAGGGAGACTGATTCTGATTCTGGCAGCCCAAGAACAAGCCATTAAAACAAATGCCATCAACGACAGATCCCAAGTGTAGATTCTGCAAGGAAGCAGGTGAAACAATAGATTACATCCTCAGCTACTGCAAGAAGAGTGCACAGACAGACTACAAGCAGAGGCATAACACAGTTGCTCAGATGATCCCTTGGAATTTGTGCCACAAATATCATTTGTCTGCAACAAAGAATTGGTGGGATCACAAGCCTGAAAAAGTTACAGAATATGAACACATCAAACTACTCTGGGACTTCCAAATTCAGACTGACAGAGTTTTGGAGCACAATACTCCTGACCTCACAATCGTGTTAAAAAAACAAAGTATGGATAGTTGATGTTGCAATCCCAGGTGACAGCAGGATTGAAGAGAAACAACTAGAGAAGCCGACATGATACGAGGATTTAAAGATCGAACTGCCAACAAAAAAACCCTTCACTGACCGCCCCCCCTTTTATCTTTTCCTCCCCAGTTCCTATGATCTTTCCTATATGTCCATTCCCTTCCCCACAGGCACTCACTCGTTACCCATGATCTACCCATACCGTGTGTGTGTGTGTGTGTGTGTGTGTGTGTGTGTGTGTATCGAACTGCAAAGACTCTGGCACAAGCCAGTCAAGGTGGTCCCGGTGGTGATTGGCATAATGGGTGCAGTGCCTAAAGACTTTGGTCTGCACTTAAACACAATTGGCTCTGACAAAATTACCAGCTGCCAGCTGCAAAAGGCCACCTTACTGGGATCTGCATGCATTATTTGCCGATACATCACACAGTCCTAGACGCTTGGGAAGTGTCCAACGTGTGATCCAATACAACAGCCACCAGAGTGATCTTGTTTGCTGTGAACTCATCTTGTGGCGTTTCAAATAATAATAATAATAATAATAATAATAATAATAATAATAATAATAATAGGTGTATACAAGCCCTGTGAAAGTGAAAAACAGAAGTAAAGAAGTTGTATGTTCTTTTTACCTGAGAGAACACCTCTCTATAAATTTCTATATCTTCTAGCATGACCCTTTGGTTGACCTCAGCTATACAATGACTGCGCAATCACACTTGAGGCCCTTGAGATTCCTAGAGAGGTGTTCTCTCTAAAAATCTCTAAGTCTCCCAGTATGACCAGAAGTAGTTGATCATTAAATCACACTGGGGAAGCTAAAGATTCCTAGGGAGAACATTATAATTGAATACATGAATAACCAAATCCTCAAAAGTCAAAATCACAATTGTGGAGGGATGACTGTACAAGGAATCAAAGACCATTAAGCTCATCTTAGAATGATGAGCTTAACCCAACCTCCCCAACCCAGGGCTGAATCCTCCATATGTTAAATAACATTCAACCATGGAATCACTATCCCTATAGTTTATCTCACTGTCCAACTAACAGCATTATGTTCCAGACAGAGCAAGTGCAAACAGAATAACCCCCTGAGTAGAAATGGAAATTGGAGACAAGAAAAAACAAGAAGTGGTTTACTGAACCCCATGAAAATCCAGGCATATGTTTCCTGCTGAAGATTTCAAATTATTCCTTCCATTTTCCAGTTTGCTCTTGCAAGACTATTTCTAAGACAATGTCAGTTACACATGACAGGCCAAAAGGGTAATCAGCAAGGAAGCCAATTTTCGAACTTGGTCAGTGTTCCATTTCATTCTTTTTTCATTCTGTACACAGTAGGGGTTACTTAAAGAGAACCAAGCAGAGTTTTCCTACACAACCAAGAATGTATCTCTCCCTTAAATAT